TCCATGGGACAGGGCTCCCGAGGGTGCGTGGGCTCTGACACGCACGGCGTGTCTGCCCTCCGTGCTGCAGCTGTGCTGTGTGGCAGGTCATGTGCTTTGGCAAAGAGAGATGGATGGAGCCTAAATTTGCCTGGAGGCACTTTCCAGATTTGCTCCCCAGCATACAGCAAATAGTGGATTTTTCTTAAACAATAGAACAAGGTTCCATATTGAGAAGTAAAAGAGAAATAACCTGTCTGTAGATCAAATGTGTGTTAAGCATGATTATTAGACTAAAATTTTACATGTGGAAGCAAGAGGGTATGAACATATGCCGTTTAGAAATGCATGCAGCAGTGCCGACATTAACTTAATGGCCTCCATTTGCTTTGATGACTTCATACACTTGCCCATAACATGCTAATGTCCTTCCCAGTTTGCTTTTTTTTCCCCCCCTCAATGACAATTAAAAAAAAAAAAATGCCATCATATCTCCCATGAGAAGACAGAACATACAAACCCACAATTTCTAGTGCACTGTATATGTAGCKGTTAACTTTTACTTCAGTTGAGGTGTCAAATGGACAGAAAAATTAAAAGTTCAAAGAAATGCTAGATTTTTTTTACTATGTTGTTGCAAAATGACAACTACTGACAGATCTTGTAAATCCAGAAGTCAAACACCATGYTGAAGTAGAAATTTTTGCATTTTTCATGTCTGAATTCTCATTATCTTAAATTGATGGTAGTATAGATACTTTTTAAGATGCTTTAAAACCATCTCAAATGATACCTTGAATAATTTAATCAAGACACATATAGCATAAGAACCCCCCCTCCCATATATTTTTAGTAATGGCTAAAATAATATTTCTCAACTTGGGATGTGCTCTTGTCTTCTCTCATGGCTTCTGCTTCATTCCTGTGATCTTAGCCTAGACCCACTTCCCAGTAACTATGTCCCATGTGTTAAAGGCACAGCTGAAGAATGCACAATCAGTTTCTAATTCTGGTTTTAATTTGACATTTAATTTGTTTTCATGCTGTTCTGTGTATATTGATTGGTACTAAATTGTGAAATAATCTCTGTCTAAACACAGAAGTAAATAGAGTGCAACAGAGTTCTTAAAATCAAAAATTGTCTGCTGTGAACATGTCACCTCATGAAATAGACAGTTTATGTAACTTCTGACAGCTGATTTCTTCTCAAAGGTGACTAGCTCGAGCAGACTGCAGTGAGGGGAGAATGGGACAGTTAAAATGATGCATTAGAAAAAAGTAAAAAGGGAAAAAAAGAAAAGGGGAGTATTTTTCATGGAAGAACCTCTGAATTTTTAAAGATCCATAGCCATAATCTTTCCTACAGGGACATTAGAAAACATCAATCATATAATTCGTGACAAACACTACATTTTTTTAAGGGAAAGGGTAATCAGAGTGTTTCCTAGCATACTGTCCTTCCTACTCCCATGCACCTCACCAAAAACAGAGGAATTGAAACACTAAGATGAAAAGGGGCCTAAGACTTCCTAGTCAAATGCATAGAGGGAAATGGATAACAAATGTGTATGTTACAGGTGGTAACAGTATAAAACAGGAATTAAGCAATCACTCTGACATCACAGCTGAACTAAAATGTATGGGTTGAAGTGGCATGGAGCCAACATTCACCTATTTCTCCTTCAGACTTAATTAGAAGGAATTTCTAACGAAAATAGAACTCACCAGGCCAGTTAGATGAAACATGTGGATGCTGTCTGAGGAATTCAGCTAAATGGGGAGTTTTGGTTATTTGGTTACACCCTTTTTCTAATTTAGAACTCAGGCAAGCAGGAAAGGAAGCCCTACAACTGATTCCTATTTAAAGGCAATAAATCTGTTCCCCAAATCTTCATGTTTTTAGGGTGGCATGTCCAATGTGCATCAGCTACTCCAAGATACACATCTTGCAGCATTATCTGCATTACTGAAAGAAAACGCCTCTTAGAAAAGGCAGCTTCAAACCCTGGGGAGCGTTCCATAGGAGAACTACTGAGTCAAAGCATGTTTGATTTGCTGTTTTTGCTAGCAGATAGACTTCCAGCACAAACCCACTCTCTGAATTCTTGGCTACATATTACATATATAGGTGCCAATAGATTTAGATAAAACTACAGATACTGAGTTTTTTAAATGTAAAATGTTAATAGTCACATGGGCTGTACAATTTGTAATAGCTGAATAGATTTATGCTGACTTAGATCTGGCATCTAGAGATACAATTATTATTCATGTGTATGTAGTTAAAAAAGAGAAATCTAAGTAATATTTCAGGCTGCAAAAAATACCTTTTCATATAAAAAATCATCCCAGCACACTTTTTAAACTGAAGTAGTTTATTCAAAAGTAAAAGGTGCTGCAGATTCATTGTTCTAACTGATGCAGTGCAGTTTCTAGATCAAGTCTTGAAGCTGATGTGATTTGAACTTGGACATGACCAGTTGTGCATGTACATGAAATGGCACTACTGCTTAGAGAGGCACATTTGTCATAGAGAAAAGCACTTTAAGCCTCTTGAAAGCTCTGGCTCAATCCTCCCATAACTTCAGAAAGACACAGATACCTGCACATAAACATGCTTGCTTTTCTGCAGCATTGGTAATCGCTGTTTTTCTTTAACTTTTATCACATTCAGAAGCAAGCTGTAGTTTTGCAATTACTATCAAAATTGAAGCCAGGGCTGATCAAAATTAATTATGAGCTGTGAGATGAGAGTAATCAAAAAGAGGGAGAACATCGGAGCTGCAACTGGGCTTATGACATTAAAAATACAAATAACAGGCAAATCTCTGTCTCATCCTGACAAGTGAGGCACTCAGCATATCTGTCATTCCTTTCATCATGCAGATGACTTCTCAGCAGCTCTCAACACATAATACTGCAACTCCTTCCTTCAACAAAATTTCTATAAGAGCTGTCAACTGTTTGTAAAACTTCTAGATAAAAATGATTGAAAAATCATATTTCATAATGAATCTATTTAAGAACTCCATAGTTTTTAAATATTTTATTGCTTCATTTCAGAGTGACTTCTTTATTTTTAATTAGTATGAAACCTAATTACTTTTTACCAGGAGACAAAGACTGCCAAACATAAAAGATCTAGGAGACTGGAAAACAAACAGGTGGAAAAATTAATAATAAGTACTCCCTTTTGCACTTGCTATAAAAGAAGTCTTTGTGTTAGAGGAAGAGAGATAATACACAGCATACCATCTGGTTTGTCCAGAGATGGGACAATGAAACTTCCAGATCACAGCCAGTCCTAGACAAGACATTTTCACCCAGTTAACCCCATGCTAGAATAGAACGAGGCCATGGACGTGAAAAGCAGGGCAAAGCAAGTGTTCCAGCTGTCAGTCAGGAAGCAGGGCTCTTGGCAGCAACATCTGCAAGTTTAGCTGGGAGATTGGTGCACTCCTTGATTCCCTGTTTTTGCTAAACTTTCACAGCAGCATCTATGACTAACACTTTCAACTACTTCCTGTTAGATAGGAGATTCTGTCTCATGCTGTTGAAAAGAGCAGCACTCACAAATTTGCAACAGAAAGCACTCACATTATGTTTCCAGCTTGTACAACATGGGCAGAACATTCCCTTGACATAACCACTCACATGGAGCAAAGGTTCCTTCCTCTTGGCATATCAAGCAGAGACTCCATTCAAATACGTTCAATTGTACAAAGACAGTTATCTAATCTATCCTAGTCATGCAGGCTTATTGATTCTCTCATAAATGGAAGGAGTTGCTCATAAGAGAAATTTAGTGCAGACTCATACAAATAACTGGATGGAGAAAAGATAGGGTACAGTTTGGAGCTGCCCAACTACATCCCTGGTGCTTACATGGGAAATGCTAGACAACCCATTTCACTGGAGCAGAATCAAACTAAGGTTTTCAGTTATTATTTTCAGCGTGATAAGTGACCAATAGCAGCTTATACAGACCAAGAAAACCTCCAGGTGTTGAGAAGGRAAGTGCCCCATGGGTTTTGCAACACTTTTTATCACAATAATAAGTAGAAGAGTGTGAAAAGAAGAAAATTATTCTTCTTGGATGGTTTAATGCTGTGCAAAAATTGATGTTAAAAATAGTCATCCCAGCATCACTACTCTTTAAGTATCAAGTGTATTTCTGACTTTGTCCTGAAAGTACATAGTAGAGCATACCTTAAAATAAATTTCTAAAAAGCCAAAGAAATATACTGAACAAATAACACAAACTCTGAACACCATCCTCTTTCAAACACAGTTGTCCCATGGGAACTGCATGCAAGAGAGCATGTGGAGCACACATGACAAACGTTTACTCATATCACTCAGAGAACTGCTGGAAGGCTCTTGGATATTAAAATAACTGTAAAGGAAAGAAAAAAAAACAAACCCAACAAACCAATGAGGTAAACTCTGGCTTTCCTTTTAGATTAGCTTTACTTAAAAAGTCTTAGATTGTCTGGATGCTGGTTGACCCATGTGTGATTGAAATGATGTCTCCACTTTTATGGACAAGCTCAAAACAAGGTAATACAAGTTCCAGCCATTTTAGGTTACTTTGCTTAGTTTAACACTTGACTCACAGGACTGATAGAATAATGAATATCCAGCTATGGTTAAAAGCAACATGATGAAAAATTAAATTTAAAGATAACTCTCAAACATTGTATCTCATTTTTTTTCATAAAATATGGAAATACATTCTGGTATCTTAAGAATTAGTCTCCACACTAGCATGCTGCTAGTTTTAGTAGTATCAGTAACATACATGAACTGAAATTACAGAAGACACTATGGTTACAATTAATTATATCCACATTTTAAAGTATTTGTTGTCTTTCCTGACTAAAAAAATGCCACCACAATATTTGGGTATAGGAATATCCAAGCATTGTATTTAGAAATAAGTTTTCCAAAATTATTTACAGCAGATAAGTGATATCAAACATCCTTTCTTATATTCAATATGAATTCCAATTTTTACTTACCAATCCTGCACAGCATTGAAAGAGTCTTCGTTAGTGATGTCATACATTAAAATGAAGCCCATTGCACCTCGATAGTAAGCTGTGGTAATTGTTCTGTATCTCTCCTGGCCTGCTGTGTCCTGGAAAAATAACAACCAAGTTTTTACATTGCAAATACACTGAGAACTTTTTCTTTTACAGAAAGAAAACTCTGATAAGGGTTATTGCATAACTCTGCAATCCTGAGAGTAAATAGGAGAAGAACTCTGCATGGGATCATAATAGGAGGGGCACAGCAATTCTGTCATGGGGTGAGAGTGGAGAGAAGTAGAAATGCAAGGACCCCTGTCAGTCCATATATCCTGAGTCATTAGTGATTTATTTTATTCAGCCTGAGAGCCGGGTCAGAACCATCTCTTCTGCTCCTGGCTTGTACCTTCCCACTGTGACAGAGGTAAAATCTGGATAAAATGCTGGAACAAAATAGCATCCTTAGGACCTTCATTACAATAATTGGATGGCACCTGCAGCCAGGAAACATCTTGACAAAAAGGCAATGCCTAATTGTTCTGTTCTTGTGATTTTAAGGCACTGGTGCTCATGTCAAGGAGCACCAATACAGCTTTTTTTTTTTTTTCTGACAAAAGGAAAAAAAAAAGAAAAAAAAAGGGGGGAAAAAAAGACTGTACGGTAGTGCTGTTAAAATGAGGATGATATCTGGCACAAAAAATAAGTTTGCTATCAGTCCCTTAGCTCTAACCAGTTTTCTCCCTCATCTTAATCAACTGCCTTTAAAGTAAGAATGTAAGTCTTCTTATCTCCTACTCCTTGCTTTGCTTATTTCCATTAAAAACTTTTCAGGGTGGGGACTACCTGTTAATACATTATATGCAATGTCTAGCATCATGTTTAGCCTGGAGAAGAGAAGGTTGGGAGCAGATCGCATTAATGCATGTATATAGTTCAAGGGCAGGTGCCAAGGGGGTGGTGCCGGACTCTTTTCAGTAATGCCTAGTAACAGGACAAGGAACAATGGCCATGAACTAAAACACAAGTATTTCAACCTCAACACGGGGAAACACTTCTTTATGTTGGGGGTGGCACTGGAGCAGGCTGCCCAGGGAGGTCATGGAGTCTCTGGAGACATTCAGCACCCACTTGGATGAGTTCCGGTGTCACCGSCTCTGGGTGACCCTGCTTTGGCAGAGGTTTGGATGAGACGATCTCCAGAGATCCCTTCCAATCCTAACTATTCTGTGATTGCACTAAAATTGAGATACAACAACAGTAACTGAAATACAGGGAATATATAAGTATCTCCTGTTCCAGCAAACCTGTTTAGTGTTTTTAATCCATTAATATTAATAGCTTTAGATGAGACACATGTCAGTCTCTAATTGTAACTAACAGATATGTGCATATTTAACTTTAAAAAACTTTGAAAATTAATATATTTCTATTTTTAATAGCTAGCAAATAGATTACTTTACTCAACACATAAATTATTCCATTTACTTTCCTACAGAGAAAGAAAAATAACCAATAACAAACATATTTGGTATGTTTTCTGAAATTGTTTCTAGGCTAGAAGTAATTCCTTGTGAGCAAAAGAAAAATAGATTTACTGGGCCTACATTTTTGCATATGCATCATTCATTTCATAAACTAATAAAATAAGAAAAGGAGATTTTCCATGCAATAGAAAATACCTTTAGATTAAAAAAAATATATATCCAGGGTCATTACTGAAATGTTTAAACAACATTAGGGAAAATATATGTTTCCTGTTCATCCTAGATTACAGCAACTGTTGCTTTGATGTGGTTTCAGTGATCCAAGATGGAAATCTAAAGTAGCAGGTCTGACAGGAAGTTAGGTTATATCTTTGTGGGAAAGGTCAGACAGACTTAAACTTTTTCTGCTTATTGTCTGAACTGACTGAACTTCTACCAGCTGTGGTCTGGAGCTTGGACAGCTGCTACCAGATTTTCTGGTGTTCCTGAATATTAAGGTTTTAAGATGTGCACTAAGCCTGTGGGTATTTAATTTATGAAAAAGGATTCAGTTTCACTTTTTTGTGTTTGTTGGTTTGGTGTTTGGGTTTTTGGGGGGTTTTACTATTGTTTTTGGGGCTTTTTTGTTTGCTTGTTTGTATTTTTTTTTATTGCTAGCTTCATTTATTTGATTCGTTATTAGACAAAACATCTGGGAGGGACAGGATCAAAATATGGCCTACGGCAACCATGCAGCCCTTTTGTACAGAAGAGAGGTGATTTTCAAATAAATCATATTAGTCTCTATCTGCTCATTTTTCAGCTAGAGTCATGTTTGGTTACTGTGTACAAAATATTGTGTGACRAGCAGAAGCCACTGATACTGAAGCAAATCTTGTTTTGCTCTGGGTGGCTTCCACTGAAGCTTGCCTGCAGATATGAGTGAACAATCCTAGCTATAAAGCCRCAAGTCAGTGATGCCTTCTATCCAAGACACCAACAATTTTCTGTGCAGGTAGGGTGCTAGGCAGCTAGGTATGGTGAACTTAGGAACTCTTGATTACAGAAAATAAAAAAGGAGTTTAAAAATGAAAAATCAATATGAAAGTTCTTCATAAATAATTTTACACAAAGGGTCAGGAAGCTGCAGATAAAGATCCAAACACTGACTTTGGGGGAGAAGATGCTTGTCTGGACTCAAGCATTTGATTTGTGTCAGTCTGGGAAGGAATCAGGTATTTGGTGTTGTTCTCAAAGTCTAATTCATAATGCTATGTCAATAGGATGATTAAAAAAAGAAGATTTTCTAAGGCGATATTTCAGATATGACATAGATGGATGACCATTAATAAAGTCGAGTATATTAGTTCTAAATATAATCCCATTCATGTTGGCATTATTTTATATTCACTTTCTATAAGGAAGCAACTAAAATAGGCCTAATGCAAGATTTATGTGACAAAGTGTTATGATCATGTTAGAAATTAACTCAAATATAAGTAACCAATGTGTCAAAACTTTTGTGTCCAACACATTCAGAAGCACCTTCTTTGTATTCAGACAAGAATATATTCATAAGTGCCCTAAGGATAGCTCCTTTCATATGATCATTAATGAACTTAAATATCATTTGACAGAAGAGATAGCACACTAGAAAAAAAMCCCATAATTCAATATTAAATATTACATTTTATTACAATTATTTTTTTGAAGCATTTAATACAACTACATACATGGTCTTTCTGTTTATTAGCTTTTATTCTTATGGAAAAACTGAGCAGAAAATAACTGATTTCCATATTTTATCATATTTATAGTTGTAAATCACTATGATTGTATCCTCAGGTACCATTACATACTTGTACTTGAAGTAAACCTTCTCCAGTTCAGGTAGCGCTCCTGTTTGCTGCTATGTTATCTTAGACTATTTTGCAAAACCACAGAATTAATCTGATCACTGTCCTCTTAGATCTAAATTCTGAACTATAACATCCATATTTGCACTGACTGATGTTTATTTCTAAGCAAACTAAATAAAATAAGCCTGAGGAAGAATAAAATTTGGCCTATTATTGACTGGCATTTTAAGAAAGGCAGTTCATTTTCATCTTTGATGGGCAGAAAACAAGACACGTAGATCTTGTTGGAGACTTCTTCATTCATGTAGTTAATGTCGGGTAAGAACGGATCATTGTTCATTAAACAAGTAGAGTGGAAATGCAGAGGGGAATGAATGAGAGTGAARGAATGCTTTATGAAAACTACCACACACAGAGGAGAAAAAGAAGTATTTTATAAAGCTTAGCCAAAACCCACACACAAAAACCAAAAAACAAGCAAACAACAAACCCCCCCCCCAAAAACACTACCCAAAAACCAACCAAGCAAGCAAAAAAGACCCCAAATAAACAAAATATCTCAGCAGCTGCAAGAGATATTTCCAAGTATTATATTCACTTTCATAAATCCAGTTTTTAACACAGCTACACAATTCCATTAGCTTCTGGTTAGATGATCCTATGTCTGTGAATCTTTTTTAGTAGGCATCAGATTTTAATTATTAAATCACATTATAACAAGGTTTAGTGGTCATAGTACTTTAGAAATTATTCGGTTTCTCAGCACTGCATACAGCAGACTGGCTAACAGCTCACAGTCCTGAATATTTGGAAGACTGATACTTGTACAGATYTCCTTTCTGATTTTGATGACTCTAGTATGCTTTGTTTGGCTTCTTTTCTTAATTGATTTTTTCACCTATAACAGAAATTAGTCATCTGCAAACATTTTCACGCACCAGATCCTGATATGAATGATTTCTTATTAGAAAAATTCATCACTTTTTGTGAGTGATTTAACAGCTAAAAGGACTGGTAAAGCTTTTCTATCAGCAAAGAACATGAATAGGGCATATACATCTATAGACGGGGAAAGAAGAATGGCAGAGGTATAGACTGAATGGAAAATACTGTTTCTGCCTCTTGTTGAAAATAGCAGTCTGGTATGCTTTTGACCAACTCTCTTTATCATATATTTATCGAATGATATGGAGACAAATAATTCTAGGTTACCTTGGCTCTTCATTTGAGTTAAACTCATAACTGTGAAATCTGACACAGTAAAACAATAAAGCAAAGATATATTAGTTGTTTTTACAGTGACTACATGAATCAGTGTTAGTCCTGTTTTCTTCCCTTTAATAATGTTATGGAAAATTTCCTACAGATTCTCATTGCTACTGGGGAAATGCTGTATTATTGGAGGCTTAATGTATGGGGAATGCACAAGCTCCTTAGAACAATGCTCCCAGCAGAATGGAGAGATACCATGTAATAGCCATCTGTGAAAGTAGAAACACTTAAGGATAGCAAGAAAGTTCTTTCAAGAGGAATCGTGTGTTTCACATGAACTTAAGCTTTTAGTAGGCTGCAAAGTCTCAAAATACATAAAAAAAAGAGAAATGAAGCATCCAGTAGTAATCTAGGAGATACTATTTATGCTTGCAAAGTACAGCCATCTATCTCAACAGAAGTAAACCCGTCCTACTGTCAAGTCCTGCTAAGCTACACTTCATCGAGAATGTGCCATAATAGCTTAGACTACATTGGTGTTTTTGCAATGGGTTCAATCAGGCACTTGAATTCATT